GCTTTAAACGATGACTAAGACAAACACCTAAGTGGAGGCCAAAACAGAAACTTTCATTCCCTGAAAATAGTAAGTGTGGTTCCATATACTACATAGAGGTCTGGAAAACTTCGGCTTTAAAATAATTTTTACCTTGGATCAAAAAGCAGACAAAAAGCTAAAACTCCAAAGCACTCAATCAGACCTTAGCCACAGACACTATAAGCCACCAGTAAGAACTGGAGACTGCGGGAAGACATGGCTGCCATATTTGTCCCTCATGTCCGATAAACTCCCACTCCGGCCCAGCCCCAGTCCTGGGAGACCTTTGAGGACTGGGTTCACCTGGTTAATGTGCATCTTAGACACCCGCAAGAGTTCTGCATACAGATCAAGATAGCTCCATTCGCTGCACATAGGACTATAACCCCTTCCTGGTGCTCTCTCACCTTGCAGCCCTCAAACTCCCGGCCTGCCCACAACTCTGCTGACTTGGACCCCTTTAAGTTCCGGTGGTTGATCCCCATTTCTGCGCTTCAAGTTAGACTGGGGAACACAGCAGGTAAACTTTGGGGTGTGCGGCAGGGAACATGTTTATGTGCGTTTCATTCATGTGGCATGAAAAAGCAGGGAATGCTTATGATTTCAGCCTGGTACTGTGGCAGCACGGGACATGTGCACAGATGATGGAATGGCAGACATCTGTTTACTCTGTGGTCGGGAGCAGAGACAGGAAGGGCATTAGTAGCTACACCCTCTCTGACCTAACACCTTCTCTTAACAGCTTCCATCCCTTCTCCCCCCAGCAGTACCCCAGGCTACCCACCAAGTCTTTAAGGTGCACGGGCCTTGGGGACATTCCCACACCATAGTAGCTGGGGATAATTTTTGCATGTATTTTACTTTCTAGAAAAAAGAAATTGAGAACAAGGTTGTTTTGACATTTCTTTACAATCTTTTGGACGGAAACAAGCGTCATTGGATGGCCGTCTTCTGCCAGATGCCTCTGCATTGTTCCTTCATTTTTGCAGTCAACAATGTCAACATTTTCCTTTCTGCCATATGCCTTGATACCCTAAACTTTATTAAGCAAGGATCCACACAATTTTAGGAACTTAAACATACTAGAAAATTCCTTTAGTTATAACTAAGGACCTTCTAGAATAACCAATTTTTCAATAACATTATGTAGTGACTTTTGTCAGAGGTGCTTATGTTTCTTAGAATATGACTGCATGGGAAGGAAGGGGCTCTGCCACCTCAAGTTTCTGAGCAAATCCTTCTGTTTGTTCTAAGAATGGGACTAAAATCTCAAGTGGGGGAGGAACTGGGACTTGGTCGCTGAGACTAAAGGCTTGCCACAAATTCAAGGCCAGCATGGGCTACAGAGTGAGATCCTGCCACACACAGCCAAAACAAAACCTAAAACTACCAAAGAGGGATAAAGAATTTACTCTCAATTTTTGTAGCTATTTGTTAATATTTCTGAGTGAGCTGTAGAAGAAACTAAAGAGCCAGAACTGGGGGTGTTTGAATTGTGAGCATCTCAGGTACTCTTAACCATAGCATTTGGCTAAGTTGTGGACACTTGTTTCCATTTCCTTTTACCCAGGGACTGAAAATAATTCCATCTGGGAGCTGATTCATACGAAGTCAGAAATTGAAGGGCGGCCAGAAACCATCTTTCAACTGTGCTGCAGGTATTTCCCTGGACAAATGGGTGTAAGACTTCACTGTGTGCCCTTTAGAGGGGAGTGGAGGGGCTGGAGAGATGGCTCAGCAGTTATGAACACTTGCTGCTCTGCCAAAGGACCTGGGATTGGTTTCCAGTACCCATGTTGGGTAGCTCACAACCACCAGTAACTCTAGCTCCATATGATCTGATGCCTCTTCTGGTCTTTTCAACACCCCCAGCACCACCTAACACACGTGGAATACACACACACACACACACACACACACACACACACACACACACACACACACACAAAATCTTTAAAGTGTACGTGTGTGATATTTTTACTGCCCTTTTGAAATCTGGTACAAGTTTAGGTAGAAGTTTTAGGGTACAACTTCTGCCTAAAAGGGGCAACTGTGGGTCCATGAGAATATATTGATGAGATATAAAATTATCCATTCTCACCTCCTTAATTCAGAAAAGCCAGGCACACATTGGTGGGGAGCTTGCTAGCTTCTGAGGTACAAGGCAGAGCTGGACACGGCTGTGTCCCCAGGAAGGCCCACACAGAAGCAGAATGGACAGTGCATACTTCATGTTCTTTCTTCTTTCCCCAGTGACAGCGAGAACAAGACTAGCATGGTTAAGGTGATCCGTTCTATTCTGAGAGAGAACTTCAGGCGCCACATCAAGTGTGAGCTACCACTGGAGAAGACCTGTAAGGATCGTCTGGTGCCTCTTAAGAACCGAGTTCCTGTTTCAGCCAAATTAGGTGAGAATTTCATTAGCTCTGTTCTAATGAAGAAAACATGTCCCTTGCCCCAGTCCAGTCATTCTTCCACAAAACACACCTACTTCAACCAGCTGGCAGGATGCAGTGCAGGCTTACCATCTGACCTGTTTCTTCCTCTGAGATGAACGTGGATCTGGGGGCTTTGCTTCCTCCTGAAGGTCAATACTTAATTCAGATCACAAGACTGAATGGGCTCATTCTTATGCAATCACTGCAGCAGGTTGCCTAGAATATACTGTTCATCTGCACTCTCCCACCTAGCAACCCCTGAGTTCTTTGTTCTTTTTGTATTCTCTCTCTCTCTGTCTCTCTCTCTCCCTCTCTTTCTTCGAGACATGATTTCTGTGGACTAACAGCCCTAGCTGTCCTGGACCTAGCTCTGTAGACCAGGGTGTCTTGCTTGTAATCTTACAGGGCACACATTTTTCCCTTTCCCTTCCCATTCTCTTTCTCTCTCACACACCCATTTGATCTCTGTACATCTTTGTTTTCTATTCTGTTGTCAAAATCATCTATGGTCATCAAAACGAATGTGGTGCTAATGAATTATTGGGACATTCAAACTAAGAATTCCCTTTGAACAAAGTCAATGAATCGCTCCCTCCCACACAATTGTAAGTCCACAATGTTAATTCTCTTAAAGTTGGTTATAAATTACAGCAGAGACAATGCTCAATGCTCAAGAGAGATAAGAGCATTTTTCAGCTTCTAATGGAGCATCTAGGGAAATAAACAGGGAGGCTAAGCATAGAGATATGGTATAATATTTTCAGATCTAAGTAATGTAGTAAAAGTGTAACCTAATTTTTTTTAGTGATTATTCAATTTACTCATTGGCAAAATAAGTAATCCTAGCCTTTACGATAGTTGGTACTTTATTATTCTATCTATATGGTGAAGCTCTAGGAATCTAAAAAAAAAAAAGAATGCTGAATTGAAACTTAAGAATTTCAGATATGCTCAGTGGGCACCGCGCTTGCCCAGCGTTCAGCAGACTCTTGATCTTGAGCATGCATAAAACCAGGTGTGGTGGTGCACACTGTCATCACAGCACTCAAGAGGAGGCACAGAAGTATAACACTGTCCTCAGCTACACAAGGAGTGAGGAGCCAGCCTGGGCTCCAAGAGACCCCTACAGACATCAGTAAACTCATTGTTTGACATAACTGCATGGGTTTACCATCTAAGCCAACTGTAAATTCACATAATAAATTCCTCACACAGGTGTCACAACCCCCGAGGCCCTAACCTTACATTGTTTTTTTTTTCCCGATTTTTATAGCAATCGATTACTGATCGCTATCTGAGCACCAGACGGGACTCGAACTCGGGTCCTCTGGCACTAGAGCAGAGCGTTAGGTGCTCCTAGTCGCTGAGCCATGGCTCAAGCTGCTCTAACCTTACATTGTAGAATCTATTTGTGTCATATGGAGGAATGTGCTTCTCTCTAGCATCATCCAGGTCTCTGAAGGTCCTCAGAACATCCTCCAGCAGCGAGTGGCCCAGCGAGCCCAGCAAGGGCAACTCATTGGACTCGGACGAGTGCAGCCAGAGCAGCGGCTGCCCTGTGGCGGAGAACAGGCCGGACGGTCAGAGCACCGTGCTGCAGAAGGACCCTCAGGAGGGCCTGGCAGAGTTTCCAGATGGTCTCATCAAAGAAAGCGACATTCTGAGTGATGAAGAGGAGGACTTCCACCACCCTCTCAAACAGGGCAGCCCTACTAAGGACATTGAGCTTCAGTTCCAGAGACTGAGAATCTCCGAGGAGCCTGACACGAACCCAGCTGGGCCACAGCCTACCACAGGGCCCGGAGAGCAGCCCAGGCTGGTCAGGGGCCACTTTTGCCCCATTAAACGAAAAGCAAACAGCACCAAGAGGGGCAGAGGGACTTTGCTCAAGGCGCAGACTCGTCACCAGTCCCTTGACAGCCACCCGGAAACTGCCAGCATCGATCTAAATTTGGTGCTGGAGCGAGAATTCAATGTCCAGAGTTTAACATCAGTCGTTAATGAGGAGTGTTTTTACGAAGCCCAGAGCCATGGCAAATCCTAGGACGTGTGTGGCGGGTCACAGCGCTCACTGTAAACTGGTGAGGAACAGAGCTGCAGGACACCAGCTGTGTGTGGGGTGTGCAGTATATATTCTTCCACAAAACTTGTGTAAAGATTTAAGTTATTTTAATTTATTGTGGATCAGAAAACTAGAGATTAGAACCTGTAAATTGTGTATTACATCCCTTTTGAGCAGGAATCAAATGATTTAGTCTTGTAATAAAACTGAATTCTAATTATTTTAAGTTATGTGGGAGAAGGAAGCTTGGGAAAGTTGTGATTAATAGCTTTTAAAAGGGTCCCTCCTTCAATCCTCTGGGCATTTTCTTTGAGCTGTTATGTTTTTTGCTTTATTTAAAGCACATTTAAGTTATTTTTATGTGGTTTAGGGGCACAATGTGCAGATATTTCAGTTTTGAAGGTTGTAATAAATGCTGTTTATACTAAACATGTCGCATCTATGCAGTATATACATATATATTAAAGGAAAGCTTGTACTGTATCTACTTGATATTTATTTTCTTAAGTAGTGACAGCATGTAAGTCAGTCATGTGGTTACTCACTGGCGTTGTCTTTACAGATGCAGAGGCCCCACAGTGTGCATGTGGAGCCCTCAGAGCAGCTGCTAGGACTCCCAGCTTTCTGGGTCATCATCTTCCCCTTGGCCTTTCCTTCTCTTTCGCTTGAGCTCGTCTCTGAAATTATAAGCAAAGAGCTGCGGGTCTTCCTCACACATTTTCCTGTACACATCACACAGGCTCTTAAAGTGCATGAGCGAGAGGTGGATGGGCCGGAGAGTGGGGTCGATGTCCGCCAGCTGTAGCAGCCTTCCAGTGCTTTCTAGGCGCTGAGCTTCAGGGAAGAGCATTCTGAAAGGAAAGTGGGAGGGGCTTATGTCGATCAAGGTATATCTTTGTATAAATTTCAAAACGAAACACTGATAATGCCTGAGGCTCTCGGAGCCTCTTGGGTACCCAAAGACTCCGTGTGTGGCTCACTGGAAGCAGGTCTAAGCTAAGACTTGCAGGGTGCGTCCACAAAAGGAAAACTGTCTTCCCCAGCTAAAACAAATGGTTTGATTCTCTATAACCTGGATGTATTTAAAGTCTTTAAAACCCTTTACTCCAAAAGAAAGTGCTAAGTTGTCTGTTATGAAAACAGTTAATCATCACTGATTAACTCAGTGATGCATTTTAAATTTCATTTAATTAAACAAATCACCTGTTTTTCAAGAGTGAACTTAGATGCCTGAAACTTGGCCATGGAGCTCATCCAAAGGGCTTGGCAGAAGCCATGGTCAGTGAAGGATGAATCCTCCCAGGCTGATGGTGACACACACTCCCCAGCCTTGAAGGGGAGATGACTTAGTTTCTAACACCTGGGAGCACTTTGTAGTATGGTGTGACTGAAGGAGAGCAACCACCATCCTTAAAGTGAATTTTGGTATTTGGTCCATGTCTCTCTAGAGGAAGGCATACTCAGATGAATAGGGCCCATTACTTAGTTTAGGGGTTGGGGGGAGTTGCTTTGAAAGCAGTAGGACTAGGCTCACCAAAAACTTCCAGGATTTTCAAAAGCAAGATGTACTTGTGATTCCCGCCACCTCCAATTACAGCTAATATGTACAGATGTATGAGTTATACTTTAAAATTAGAATAAACATTCATAATAAAAAATCCTTAAAGAGGGTTTTACAGGTTGCACTGGTTTCAGGATGCAGTTGCTTTGACACACCTGAAATCATTTCATGTACTAACCCATACTTCTTACATCCCTACAGAGAACCAAAATGGATCTGTGTAAGTCTTGGAAAGGATGTGCTACAAGCTGAGCCCTTTTCAGCAGCTATCCGTGACTATTAAAAAGTGTACCTAACTAAACATCTTAAAACCTGCTAGGTGAGCAGGAATGGGTGTGGTGGCTGCAGGGCTGGGCTCAGTCCTACTCTTCTAGAGGGCATGTGTGCTGTGTGGAGCAGTGATCTGACAACACAAGAGCTCCCACTGAGTGGAGGCCGAGGACGCTGCAATGACATCATGTCCGCTAGGAAGGTATGTCTGCTTTCTAGTTCTCAAGCGTATCCTTAAGGAGAGAGCCAGCAACCACTGAGTCCTGCCTGAGAAGCCTTCCTAGCAGCGAGTCAGCAGAAGCTGTGCACATGTGCATTTTTGGTCGTATTTAGGACCAAACCATACCATACCTGTATATGGAAGGTGAATCTAGGGCTTTTCCTCAGTGGTGGTGACATGTTGCTCACCACAGGATCTAAACCAAGAGCCAGAGTCATACAAGCTGTTTAAGAGTCAAAGTCACAAAGGGTTCTTACCCAAGCCCTCGATGGCAGTACTTCCTCCGGAACTGAAACACGTTCTGAACAACTTTTTCTACCAGCTTGAATGGCTGCTCGATCTTGGGCTGTATCAACGGTGTGAAGTGCACCACGCCTACGTCAACCTTCATTGAGAACAAACAGAGCAAAAATGTGATTTCAACTTTTTGTCTAGTCCTGGGATCAAACCCAGGGCTCCCTGCCTGCCTGGCAAGCACTCTAACGCCAAGATACGCCCTTAAACAATTCATCTGTGAAAATCACAGGGTGTGGGCTCTCTAGCAGTTCTCAGGAACCACTTAGTGGGTGTGTCTTCTCTGGACACACAAGCTAAGTTTTGGGTGTCTGCAGAAATCCCAGGGAGCTGCAACTATGCAGAGAAGTGTCCACTAGACCTGTGCCCGATGGCCACTTCATTGGAAAATGTAGAATCACAATGGCCTGTAAAAGCCTATCTGCATCGCTGCCAAAGCCAGTAGGCAGGCAGCAGTTGGCAGTGGGACGGGCATCTTGGCTTTCGGATGAGTACAATAAGCTGAAGTAGCAGTTCTGACCATAGGCCGGGATCCCCCAAGGACCACTCAGTGCTGAACTTGCCAGAAAGGGATGATTAGGAAACCAGCTATTTTGAGGACAGATGCTGATTACTCAGCTGGACTAAATTCATGTGCGGAGTCCATGCAGTCCCAGGACTTTCAGTAGCGACTTTACATGCACCAGAAGGCAGAGGCAGGACTGAGAAGGAAGGAAGACAGAATTTTTAAGAAGACAGAATTTTTAAGATTACACTGTTGGACAGGGTTTAAGCTGCTACCAGCTGTTGAGATCATTTCATTACGGAAGACTAGACTTCAGGCATATGTGGTAAAGAGTTATCTCCCGCCCTTTTCCAAAAATGGACTCATGAATGAATCATTGAGAATCACTAACAATGTAACAATTGTAAAAATGCAAAGTAAAGACAGGGCACAGTGGGGTCAAAACAGTCCTGGTGAGCGCCCACACAGAGCTGCTTGGAGGCCTCTGCAGAAGTGGAAACCTCTAAATGAATAAAGCACTGTCCTCCGGCATGGTTAACTTGCTCCAGAGGCAAAGCAAGCACAACAATTTAGGCAGCGTGGGTGGTGCTGCCGCTTTTCAAAATAAAGTCTGCTCTCCAGCTCCTCCCATTCAGGCTATCATTTTCTCTCAGGTTAATGGGCTTTCCAAAATTCTTGTGGCTATACAACTCCTTTAAAATTGGCCAGCAACACATGTGGGATGGGGGCGCACTGGTTTGCTTTTACATGGGAAGGAAAATAAAGAGCTAAGACATGAGCTCGGCCTAGAAGAGCAAAGCAGCTGAAGATGAGCTTGGTCTCAGGTGAGCGGGCTCCCTGGGCACCGCACCGGTGTTTCCCACAGTACTCCGCGCCTCACCGGCCAGCTGGCCCACAGAACTCCTCTCCAGAACACTACTGACCCTGGTGCTAAAGCTCCCACCCCTGTAGTTTACCATCTGGATGTCGCAGACAGTAGATCTTTGACCAGGGGATGGTGTGGGTGCACACACAAGAATGTTCTAACCAAAAGTTTAAAGGTCCTGGGGAGGACCTTTCTACACCAGGTATAGGATAATCAACCTACAATCCATAGCCCCAGAGAGGCTAGATAATGAGGGCCCAAAGAGGGGTACACGGATTTCCCTGGAAAGGAAACAGAAGAGATCTCCTGGGTGGGGTAGGGGTAGGGGAATGGGAACTTCAGGGAGTGGGCTGGTGGCAGGACAGAGGGGGAGAGTAATGAAAAGAGACCTCTTGATGGGGGGCATTTCAGGGTTAGGGAGAAACCTGGTGCCAGGGAAACCCACAGGAACTCACAAGGTGACCCCAGCTAAAACTCCTATCCTAGCAATAGTGGAATCAGATTAGTGACTGCCCTAATTTATCCAGTAACTGATGGAAGCAGATGCAGAGGCCCATAGCCAAGCACTGTGCTGAGCTCCAGGAGCCTGCTGAAGAGGAGAAGGAGGCACTGAAGGAGCCAGGGGGCCAAGGTCATGATGGGGAACCCACAGAAACCACTAATCTGAACTCCTGGGATTTACTGACTCCCTGAAACAACAGTAAGGGAGCCTGCATGGGACCAACCTAGGCCCTCTCCATGTGACAGTTGTAGAGATTGGTCTGTTTGTAAGGCTCCTAGCAGTGAGATCAAGACCTGCTCCTGGTGCTTAGCTGGCTTTTGGGGAACTGTTCCCCACTCTGAATTACCTCTTCCAGCCTTGATGTGGGGAGGGGTGCTTGGTCCGACCTCAACTCCATGTGCTCTGCTTTGTTCAAGCCCATGGGAGGTCTGCCCCTTTCTGTAGAAGACCAGATGGGGAGGGAATGGGAAAAGAGGAGGAAAGGGGAGCTGTGGTCGGCATGTAAAACAAATTTTAAAAAAAGTTACTAAATAAAAAAATCCAAACTATAGACCTCTTTGGTGAAGATTATGGTGAACAATTGTTGTGAATACTAAGTACAATATTAAATGTTCTCAATAACATTCCTTCCTCACCCTCTCTCCTTAATAACCTTACAACACTTTCCAACTGCATTCTGTAAGTTTCTTCATCAATTCCTCTAGTTACTATACACTTCCTGCAAACACAGGTGGTCTGTAGTTACAGAGAGCAGGAAAGAGGGAGTGGCAGAGATAGCTGGGACTTTTAGAAGGAAGGCACTGCTGGAGGGAGAGAAGGATGGCTCACTTTTAGGGTACTCCTGGCAGGAACAGGTCCTTAAACTGTAAAAGGAGAAGCAGCCAAGATTTACCACAATGACTGTCCAAAAACCATCCGACTTCCCACAAACCCTTACATGCCCATCTTTACCATTTATCTTGATTCTCCAGGTCTGGGAAGGTCCTAGAGCATCTTCTATACTTCACCCTGGTTTGCCATTCTGTGATCTCCTGGACCTACAACATTTGCATCTGCAGGCATTCCTGCCTCGCCTCTCTTCCTGCCACTTTCTTCAGTCATCTCTGATGTGTTCACCTGATTCTCCCCAATACACTGTCAACTAAGAAGTTATCTTTTAGAACCAGTGCACAGTCAACGACCCACTTGCATTAGATCACCTTTCAGCAGCAAAACAAAATCTGAACAGCATGCGATCAAATACAGCCTCCACCCAATCTGGAACTATGAAAGTGTCAGAACACTGGATGAGTCCAAGTGCTGCTAAGACCAAAGGCACACATCTGGGGAAGGATGATCCAATCTTGTAGCAATGTAGCTGCCACTTATAGAAGTCTTTGTGGATTTTATAAATTGGCTTCATCCTTACTGCTTAACATCATCCCTTTGCAATACAGTTATTGCTTGAGAGTAGAGGAATTTCTAATGCTTGCTTTATTTAAATAGCCCTAAAATGCTGACTATCACAGCATCCTACATAAGCTAGCAGACTTCAAACATTAATCTGCTGTTAAATAGGCATATCACAGCTGAAGGAAAATTCCCATTCACAAACACAATACTACGTGGCAGAACCCTAAAACTCACTGGCAGAGAGCTCAGCAATTGTCACTTCTGTTCACTTTCTCTGTTCTTTCCTGCAAAAGCAGCAGTCCTCTCCTCTCCCTCTCCTCCCCGCTCCCCCCCCCCCTTCTTCCCCTCTCTCTCTCTCTCTCTCTCTCTCTCTCTCTCTCTCTTCAAGACAGGGTTTCTCTGTAACTTTGGAGCCTGTCCTGGAACTAGCTCGTAGACCAGGCTGGCATCAATCTCACAGAGATCCACCTACCTCTGCCTTCCAAGTGCTGGGATTAAAGCTGTGCGCCACCACTAACTGGCGCAAAAGCATTTCTTGAAATTACTCTGAGTGATGGAGGCCATTTTCTCTAAAACCACACAGGAAGTGTGGTTGGTAGCTATGGTAACAAATATAAAGTGCTTTTAGTTATAATTGAACACTTATTTAATACAACAACCATTATTTTTTCTCTTGAATTTCAAATCTATTGAGTTAGAATAAAACAAAATCAGAAGAAAAAAGAAAGGCAGAAATAGAGGAAAGAAAGAAAAAGAAACTAGACATACTTAAAATACTCTGGCTTCATCGTGGCTCATCAGTACTGAGGGTGGGCAGGGTTGCTGATGCCTCCCTCCCTTAGAAGTTGGCACAGTGCCTTCTAATACTACGAAAACTAGTTCTCACAGGGAGGGGCTTTCAAGTCAGACCCAGTTTGGGTCGTCCAGCTCTGAAGTCTGAAGAGCATGGTGCCTTCAGCAATGGGGAGTTAACGTTGCATCTCTGAGAAGCAAGCAAGGGCAACAACAATAGCCTGGATTGTTTTTAGAAGACTCTAGGATGCCCAAGTAACAACTTGAAAGGAGGGAGGGTTATGCCTGGTTCTAGAGACTTAGGCTACTACTGAGGACAGTGACATCATGGCTGTCAGAGCGCCTGCTACCATACATTACTAAACCAGCATAACAGCTAACTGCATTCTAAATCTCCTGACACCCAGAGGAGGTGTCGCTCTCACCCTTCACAGACACTTCCCTCTACAACAGAGACCACTGCAGAAAACCCTAACTGCTCACTATGTAAAGAACAAGTGATCTTGGGCTTCCCAGCTTCAATGGACACATCTGCAACACAACTCTTGCATCTAAGGCTCAGGGAATATCTCAGAAGAGGGGCAGAAATATTGTAAGAGCCAGAGAACCAGGGAATCTGCTATGAGATTGTTGTCTCCCGGGAGTGACAGGGAAGCCTCACCCATAATCCCTCAATAATATGTCTGCTGAACAATACCTGAAGAGGCATACCTCCACCAGCCATGCTAACACGGAAGGGAAGACTTATGGCATCCCACAGAATGCCAAGAGCGGGAGAAAACTGTGGGCAGCCTTGAAATCATATACATATAAGCTACACTTAAAAGGACCGAGCAGACTGTATTTATATATTTAGGTATACTCATGTGCATGTGAACACACAACTGCACATGTGTGCATACACATTATGCATAACTAACAAAGAAAAAGATAATTTTGGGGGGGAACAAGAGGGAAGGTGTACTGCAGGAATTAGAGGGAGGAAAGGGCAGGGGAAAATGATACAATTGTAGCTAAATAGAGGGAAAAGGCCCC